TCGGCTTTCTCGCAGGCGCTGGCCCCAGAGCTGTAGCTGATGACGTCGGGCACCAGCTTCGACTCCCGCATCTCCCTGAGCAGAGCCAGAGACAGCTGCCACTGCCTGCCTTTCTCGCCTGCGCTGATCCCAGCGTTGTAGCTGACGACGTTGGACTCCAACCTCGCCTCACACATCTCGCTGAGCAGCGCCAGAGCCCGCTGCCATTGGTCGCCTTTCTCGCACGCGCTGATACCAGCGCTACAGCTGATAACGTTCGGATCGAACTCCGCCTTCCACATCTCGCTGAGTAGAGCCAGCGCCCGCTGCCACTGCTCACCTTTCCCGCACGCGCTGATCCCAGCGCTGTAGCTGACGACGTCGAGTTCTAACTTCGTCTGCCTCATCTCGTTGAGCAGAGCCAGGGCAGGCTGCCACTGCTCACCTTGCTCGCACGCACTGATCCCAGCGGTGTAGCTGATGATGCTCGGATACAACGTTGCCTCCCGCATGCCACTAAGCAGCGCTATGGCTCGCTGCCACTGCTCACCTTTCCCGCACGCGCTGATCCCTGCGTTGTAGGTGACGACGTCGGACTCAAACCTCGCCTCCCGCATCTCCCTAAGAAGCGCCAAAGCCTGCTGCCACTGCTCTCCTTTCTCGCACGCGCTGATCCCAGCGTTGTAGGAGACTGGGGCTGACCCGTGGACTACGTGCACTAAATCTGCACGAGCGGGCATGTGATAGTGGACATGCTGTCGAAAGGCTGACATGATGACGTGGGGCTTGGACCTCACATTCTGCGCATGCTACTGCATGTTGCCGAATGCTGCCGCTGCTGCGTGCTGTTCGTACTCCTTACGTGCTGCTGCTGCTGTGTGCTGTTGCTTCTTCTAGCTGCAAGGCGCTGATCTGATGTGCGCTCGATGGGGGTTGGAGCCGCTGTCTCACTGAATCGATCTCACTATCAATATCACGATTGATCTTACTCGACCGAGATCACTGGCGATATCACGATCGATCTCGCAGTCGATCTCACTATCGATGTCAGTGTGACTCCCAACATCGATTTGACGACCCATCTCGGGCGTGAAAGAAGCGTCTCGCCTCGCGTCCGCTTCCCCTCTGTCCGAGGCAGTCTGGAAGCCTCTCGGTGCCTCCTGGGGGTCGTTTGGGGGCATCTTGGGGCTTCTTTTCGATCCATTGCGGCACTCTTAGGCAGTCTTGGGGCGTTTGGGGTCCCTCTTGGGTCGTTTTTGGGCCGTCTCTTCTGGGGCTCTCTTCGTGTCCTCTTGGGCCGTCTTGGGAGCCTCTTGGGACGTCCTGGGGCCGTCTTGGGCCGTCTTGGGACCTCTTGAGGGCTTCTGGGGCCGTCTTGAGGGAATCTTGATGACTCGCAGGGCCGCTTTTGATGCCATGAACGCCTAAACAGCTAATATGCTTAAACCGTACGTTTTCCTTTGAGATTGGAACGATCGTTGCATCTCGGGGCCCCCTTGGGGCACCTTCCGGAGCTCTCTTGGAGCGTCTTGGGCTCTTCTTGGGCGGCTCGGACACTCTCTTGGACCCTCCTGAGGCCGTCCTGGCGCCCTCTTTGTGGCCTCCGGGAGCGTCTCGGAGCGCTCGCGGGGCGCGACGAAGAGCCCGAGGAAGCCCTGGAGCTCCCGGAGGGGCGCTGGGGCGCAGGAGGAAGCTTCTCATGCCCGTGCTTCTGGCATGCGCAGGCCCCTGCAGTGTAACAAAGCTGACGCTGGGCTCCACCGTCGCCTCGATCGCCTCGCTGAGCAGTGACAGGGCCTGCTGCCACTGCTTGCCTTTCTCACAAGCGCTGATCCCAGCGTTGTAGCTGATGACTCGTGTACCCTCGCAGGGGGGAATGAGAGGCAAGGGTGTAGCGTATTCGAGGTGGCGACTGCAGCAGCGTGCGAGTTCTGCTTGATGATGCTGAGTGCTGGTGGCTGATTCCACCCACTGCAGCTTGCTCTGCTGTTGGCTCTGCGGCTTGCTTGCTTGCTTGCTGCCTTCGCTGGCTGGCCAATGATTCAATCATCGTTGCCCTGTTGGGGACCTCTTGGGGCCTTCAGGGGTTATTTGGCCAGCTGCTGTGTTTTGCTGGTGCTCGTCTCTCTTGACTGCTGCTGCTGCTGCTGCTGCTGCTGCTGCTGCTGCTGCTGCTGCTGCTGCTGCTGCTGCTAGCTCTGTTGCTGCTGACTCTGCTGCTTGCATGCTGCGATCGCAACCTGGCCCTACATCGAGGCCCGCGTAGGACTGTCTCGGGGCCTTCTTGCGCGCTTTTTGGGCTGTCGTAAGGCAATCTTGGGGTCTCTGGGAGCCTCGTGGGGCCATTTTGAAGGTCTGGGGGGATATTTGGACCATCTTGTAGCGGGATTGGGCCTTCTTGGACTCTTGGAGCCGTCTTGAGGATGTCCCAGAGGCCAGCCAGGGCTATCTTGGGCAATCTACCTATTCAGTGTCTTCGGCCGCATTGGGGGCTCTTGTAGATCTTTAAGGGCCGCGTGGAAGCCTCTGGGGCACGTCTTGAGCCCTCTGTAGCAACTGCCACGCATGCAGGACCACCACTTGGGATTCGGAGACGTTTAGCCCTCGGGGCCTCTGGCCGCAGTCATCTCGCTGCCTCTTCGGGCCACCTTGGCGCAATCTGGGTGCGTCATAAGATTAGCCTGGCGAAGGACCCAGCCAGATGCAGTTGTGAGCACCGTGGTTCTGAGCATCGTCTTCGGTGGAGGTCCACATGGGTCGGCGAAACGTGTGAGGGGTTGTGCTAGAGTGGGCGAGAGGACCACATGCGAACTGTGCCACTGGGGCCCTGAATGAAGCTCCCTATTTGCGGCCACGAAAAATGTCGGATGTACCGTGATAAATGGAGGGGACGCATGCGAACCCTGCCACTTGGGCCCCGAATGGAGCTCCCAGGGGCGAGGGAGGGGTATGCCGTCATGGGCGGGGGAGACGCGTGCAAGGACGGCCTTTTGGGCCTTGGGTGGAGCCTGCTATGGGGCCACGAAGCGTGCGAGGGGTGTACCGTCATGGGCGGGGGAGACGCGCGCGAACTCTGCCACTGGGCCCTGGGCGAGGCTGCCTATGGGGTCACGAAGCGTGCGAGGGGCGTGCCGTAGTGGACGGGGGAGACGCGTTCAAACCCTGCCACAGGGGAGATGAAAGGAGCCCCCTTATGGGGACGCGAAAAGCGAGAAGGGTGTGCCGCAGTGGGCGGGGGAGACGCATGCGAACCCTGCCCCTGCCACTGGGGCCTTCCGTGGAACTCCCTATGAGGCCACGGTGCGGAGGGCAGCAGCAGGGATGGCAGGAGGGGGAGGGCAGCGGGAGGTGAGACGCGGGGCGACGCCTCTTCAATAACGAGAACCCAACACCACAGGCTGGCCGAAACAACTACACAACATAAACTCTGGGAACTATTTCGACTTTCCTGGACTGGCCATTGAGCCCCCTCCCTGTCGCGCGGAGTCCGCCAGGAGGGGCTGGCGTCGTTTGTCGAGGCATCTGGGCGGACCTCCCAATGTGTACTGTGCAATTGTCTGTCTCATTGGCGGCGAGCAAGAGGGGGAATGAGAAGGAGAAGGCCTTCTGAGAAGGCTCGGAAGTCCCCCGGCCTTCTGAGAAGTTGTCTAAGCCTTCCCCGAAAACACAGGACAACTTCGCAGAAGCCAGGCGCGGTCGAAACCGTCGGGAAATTGTCGCTCTCGGGAAGGGGCTTCTGCACGCGCTGCTCACGGCATTGCAGGGTTGACCAGTGATTAAACAAAAAAGAGGCACTAACCCTTTTGGAAGGGGGCAGTGAGTTCGGAGGGCAAGAAACATTAGGGGTAGGGGATCTTTTCTGCAGGTGTATCACACCAAACCGCCCAGTACTGTTATCCCTAATGCGAAGACGGGGACCTCAGTGAGGCCACGTCTTCATCGTTTTATGAGGGTTAGGGGCTCTTTTGTGCTCGATGAACCAAGGTGTGCCGTGGATCAGACCCACGGCCACGGCACGGCAGGGGCAATCGTGAAGCCTCGCTGAACCATCTCGAGTCCGTCCTGGCCTGTCTCTGGCCAGAGCAGCGAGCCGCCCCGGGGACCCCCGTGGGGGCCGCCTTGGGGTCGCCTTTGGTCGCGATGAGCTCGCCTCGGGCCGCCGGAGAGGCTCGCTGTGGACCGCGACGAGCCGGCCTGTGCACTCCTGGGCCGCCTTCGGGCGCACTTGGAGCCACCTTGAGATCGGCTGGAGCTGTCTCGGGCCCGTCCGAACCCGACTCGGGTCAGCGAGGCCATGGAATTCCATCGAGCAGCATGCGGAATCCGACGGCACGTCGCGGGTCTGGCCTCCCAAGGGCCTCCAGAGGGCGTCGCTCGAGGCTCCTGGGAGCCGGATGCGGGGCTGTCTGCTGAGTGCCTGTCGGGGTGCACGTCTTAGCAGGTCGTGAGGCTACCTGAAAGCAGCACAGGGCCGTCGTGAAATCCCCCCCGACTGCATTGAGGGCCACATGTTATCACCTGTGAGCCAAACTTGGACCGTGCAATGGCCGCACTGGAACCTGGCAGCCCCAGCCTGAGGAGCATTCGTCCCTGGGCGCATTGAGATGGTGATGATGATGATGATGATGATGATGATGATGATGATGATGATGATGATGATGATGATGATGATGATGATGATGATGATAGTGGGCTCCAACTTTACCCCCACCATCTCGCTGAGCAGCGACACAGCCCGCTGCCAATGCTCGCCTTTCTCGCACGCGCTAATAACAGCGTTGTAGCTGACTGGGGCTGGGTTATCGCCTGCCATGGCCTCCTGGCATGCCAGGGCGACGCTCCATGAAGTCCGCTGGGCACTCGTCGCTAGACAGCTGCGTTCCACTACTCGCAAAGGAACTACTCGCAAGTGGCCTGGATGCACTGTGGGGGATCTCCGATACGCTACATCGAGGCAGACATGTGCGCTTCGGACGCTTGCGAGTGGTCACTTTGCGAGTGGCGGAACGCGCTCGGCGATTCGCAGGGGGCGCCTGACATAACTTCGATCATGCGTGCCGGGGGGGCTGGGTCTTGGCGTTTCTGCGCCAGCTCCCAGCGCTGGTCGACGGCTTCTGACCACCTACCAAGCCACCCCAACCCAACCCGAAGACCCGAATGTCGGGTTGGGGGGGGGTACGGGTTCCATATGTGCTTTCTCGATGTTCCCCGACCCCCCCCCCCACTGGAAATGGAGGGCAAATTGAGGCCTTCGGGTTGGGTGTCGTTGTTCGCTTCTCTCATGGATGCCGTTGTTCGCTTCTCTCATTAGACCTCCCGGGGAGATGCTGTCGAGAGGCTTGCTCGGCATGCGTCGCTGTAGCGCGCCACTTGCGACCCCCAGAGGTGGCTTCCCCGATTGTCTGCGTGTGACACTTTTGGGCGCCCGAGTTATCCGGGGTAACTCGGGTCCGGGGTAACTCGGGCTTGGATTCCCGAAAAAGGAACCCGAGTTAGCCCTGACCCGAGTTAC